GCGGAGGCATCTCTCCCCATCTCTCCCCCATCTCTCCCCCATCTCTCCCCCATCTCCCCATCTCTCCCCATCTCTCCCCATCTCTCCCCATCTCTCCCCATCTCTCCCCATCTCTCGCCCCCAATCTCCCCCATCTCTCCCCATTAGGCATCTCCCACTCGCTCTTCGACCGGTCCCCCTCCCATCCTCCCGCGCCGCCCGCGCCGCCCGCGCCGCCCGCGGCGCCGCCGCCGCCGCCGTCAGCGCCGCGGCCACCTCCGACATCTCCGCCCCGCCCACCGCCGCCGTCGTCGCCGCCGTCGCCGCCTCCCTCGCCGCCGCCGCCGCCGCCGCCGCCGTCGCCGCCGCCGCCCGCGCCTCCGCCCTCGCCTCCTCCGTCGCCGCCTCCGCCCTCGCACCCGCCGTACACGCCCTACTGGAGGGACGCACGCTGGATCGGGTGGACCGAGGAGGACGCGCGGCTGTGGGGCGGTCGCGGGCCGCTCAACCGCCTCGCCAACCTCGTGCAGCCTCTCTCGAGAGGGGAGGCGGTGCCGTACCACACGCTCGACGATGTGCTGGGCACGCAGGCGAACGCCGCCAAGCCGTCGCACTGGATTGTGCTGCTGGGCTGCGTCCTGCTCGCCGCGGAGGTCCTCAGCGTCCTCCTCATCCAACCCTAACCCTAACCCTAACCCTGACCCTGACCCTGACCCTGACCCTGACCCTAACCCTAACCCTAGCCTAACCCTAACCCTAACACCCTAACCCTGACCCTGACCCTAGGTCCTCACCTTCCTCCTGATCTACGTCTCCTGCTGCGTCGCGCCGCCCGGGAAGCAGACGGACGACGCTTCCGGCCGAGATTAGCCGAGATTGGCCGAGATTGGCCGAGATTGGCCGAGATTGGCCGGGATTAGCCGCAGATTAGCCGAGATTAGCCGAGATTGGCCGGGAAGCAGACGGACGCTACGCTTGCGGCCGCGCGCCCTCCCCCCCCTCCAGCCTGGCTCGGCGGCGCTCTCCCCTTCTCCACTCACAGAGGCTCACTCCTTAGGCCGCACCCTAACCCTCCCCTAACCCTAACCCTAACCCTAACCCTAACCCTAACCCTAACCCTAACCCTAACCCTAACCCTAACCCTAACCCTAACCCTAACCCTAGGCCGCACCCTCTCCCTCCCCTAACCCTAACCCGTACCCCCTAACCCTAACCCTAACCCTAGGCCGCAACCTTTCCCTCTCCGACCTGCCCCCGCACGGGCCTGCTTGGGCGCCGCGCCCGCTCTGCTCCAGCACACGCAGCGGGTCCGTGTACAGCGGCAGCGGCGGCGGCGGCGGCGGCGGCAGCTTGGGCGGCGCGCTGTGGAGCGGCCGCCAGTACGGCGGGCCAATCCCTCCCCACATCTCCCCACATCTCCCCGTATCTCCCCATAGGAGCGGCCGCCCGTACGAGCGCGTCCAGACGGCGGTGTACGACAGCGGCGAGCCGAGACCGCCGACCGACGCCGGCTCTCCTCGCCGGACCCTTCTCGGACCCTTCTCGGACCCTTCCTGCAGGCGACCCGTGGGCCGACCACGCGGCCCTTTCCTAGACCTTTCCTGGACCCTTCCTGGACCCTTCCTGCAGGCGACCCGTGGGCCGACCACGCGCGGCTGTTCACAGCCAGAGGTGTGAAGAGACGCTGTTCACACCGCAGGCGACCCGTGGGCCGACCACGCGCGGCTGTTCGACGTGCTGGCCCCGCGCGAGGGAGGGGCCTTCTCGGACGACGACGACGACTCGTCCATCGGGTCGACGCGCGGAGTCTCCGGCCGCCCCTCGCGTACCATACCCCCCAGAGTGGTCGAACCCAGTGTGGGTTCAGTGTCCGTGGGTGGTGCGGTAGGCCGGCACTCCCGCGCAGCAGAGGCGGGCGGAGGCGTCAGCCCGGTCGGCACCGCCAGCAGCCGCCGCTCGCTCGCGCAGGCAAAGGCGTCGGTGCCGCGTTCCGCCTCTTCGCCCGCCGAGCTCAGCGAGACTGCGGAGCCAGAGTCGCCGCTCGCGCGCGCGCAGCGGCTCGAGCAGCTCGCGCTGCAGGAGCAGCTCGCTGCGGCTGGCTGGAGGACACGTCCACGACACGTCCGTCAGCCGTCCGAGACGTGTCCCGCAGGAGCAGCTCGCGAGGCTGGCTGGCGCGGGGGGCTGCGCGCGCCCGCCGGGCGGTGGCCGCGCGCCGTTCGACGGACGCGCGGCAGAGGGGCGCGCGGAGAGCTTCCCGCGCGGCTTTGGGGCGAGGGCAAAGGTGGCGCCGCAGTCGGCGGCGCTGCAGGCGGCGCAGCAGCGGCGTCTCGCGCGCGCGCGCGCGGCGAGGGAGGAGGGGGGGCCTCCGGCGCAGTCGTTCACGGTGCTTGTGTGAGGGGCGAGGGGCGTGGCGCGTGGCCTCTACTGCCGGTCTGTGTGAGGGTGTCTGCAGTCTGGTCGTCGCCGGCCGACGCATCTCTCACTTTCCGCTCGCGTTGTGTTACACGGTATCAAACTCTATACTGTCAGGACAGCGGACCGCCACCGCTGCAGAAAAATTTAGGACCGCGCAAGATATAAGGTAAGGTAAGGTAAACTTCTCCACACACACGAGGTGGTGTGGGGCAAGGGGGGGCACGGCCACGGGCAACCCTCGCGTCTCCACGTCTAACGTGTAACGACAGGAGCCCCACGGCATTCAAAGTGCAAGGCCCGGTGCGCGTGGGTGAGCGGTGTGTGTGTGTGTGTGTGTGTGTGTGTGTGTCTCACGTCACACTGCAGGCCGACTACACGGTGAGCCATACGGACCTTGCACAAACGAACCTTTCCTTCTAAGCAGGGCTACACAATGACCCTATAGTGTGGGGGTGTTCCTGGCGAGTTGTGATGAGTAGAATTAGACTAGCCAATACTATTTTGAAGTTCATATATGAAAATACCAACTTGCCTATGTGCACGTCTCCGCGGCGGCGGCCCGGAGGCGGCCCGGCGGAGCAGTCAGAGCAGCACTGCGCCGGCCGGCGAGCGACTCTCGACTATAGTACGGGCTCTATTGAATGGCCTCAAGGTGCTCTCTAGGACTGCCCTACTCCGCTCGCCCGGCTACGACGCTGAGCTTGAAGGAAAAGGTTTCGCTCGGCACGACGTCGGAGAGCAAACTTCGGCGTTCGTCCTATGTGGAATGCTGGACGCACGTAGGCAAGTGGCCCATGACCAGGCGGGCTGCTGCTCAGAATCTGGGCCGTCGGCGCTCGCTCTCGCGCTCTTCATAACGGCGTTGCCCCCTCCCTCCCGCGCCGACGTTGGGCAGCCCGACCACGACAACGCCAGTGCCGCTGGCCTGCAACTCGAGGCGCCTTTGAATGAGCACGAGCCGGTGCGCGACGCGGCGCGGGTGATGCAGCCCAAGGTGACGGCGACGGCGGAGGGGTCGGCGGCGGAGGGGGAGGCGGCAGCGGCGGCGATGGCCGCGGGGTCGGCCCGCCCGCCTTTGCTGCTGGTGCTGTGGGATGTCGGTCATCTGCCACCACTCGCCAGCGACAAGGTTGCCGGGTCCATGGACGCAGACTTGCTGGAAATTGAAGAGTTGCTCGGCGTGCGTTACTGCGATCCGAGTCAGATGACTGCGGTGGCGCTGAGGAACCCTGTCGATGAAGACGACGACCGCTTGGAGTACCTCGTCTCTGGTTCGGCAGGTCCCGACGACCGTGGCTTCCATTCTGTCGCTTGGTTTTTTCACGGCGACTTGCTGGACCATGCAGGTGCGGACACGGTCAAGGCAGCGATACAAGAGTATTAGAACTGGATAAGGAATTCACGGCGCTGGCGGAGGCGTGTGACGAGGCTGATGCTGAGTAGCCGCACCAGCGATGCTCAGCGGCAGTGTGCGCCGACCAGGGGCAGGGCCAGTGGTAGACAGTGGACGTGGTGAGGCTGCTCTTCGAGCGATGACACTAGCAGGAGCATCATGAGTGTCATCGGAGTCACTTGTGTTACGATATCACCACGCCGCCACGCTCGCAAGGGCCGCCTAAGCGCCTAAGCACCCTAAGCACCCCCCCGCTTAGGCCGCTTAGGCGCTTAGGCGAGTGACGGCCGACTCCCCGGGGCCTGGCGTGCCTCCGCCATGGGCTGAGCGCCTGGGAGAGCCACTCAGCAAGTGGTGTGCGAGCGTGTAGCCTTTAGCGTGCAGTCGGCCTGCATGTCTGCATCCTCTGCCGGTTCCTCCCGTCGGCGTCGCCTCTTCTTTGTTCGAATGTTTTTCAATCCATCCTTCACGAAGCCCTCCCATGTAGCTAGCGTTCTTTGCGAATGTCTCGAAATGGCCAGCAGGCGCTGTCTGCTCGCGGCCTGTGCGGGCCGCTCGTCCTCCTCGCCCTTCTTTCTTCGTCCTCCCGAGTCCCGTCCCTCCCACCGGCGGCTCGCAAGGCGCCCGCGTCGCAGACGCCAGAGAGCTGCGCTGGGCAGCCACGTCTTTTCCCCGACAATTAAAAGGAAGAATTCATTAGAGTCACACCACACACACACCACACAGCCGGTTAGACAGAGCATGCATGCCGCCGGGGGCAGGGCGCCCACGCCTCGATCTTCTTGGGCAGCAGCTGGTTCGACAGGTCCTCTCCGTGGCCAAGGCAGCCGCGTTCGCCCTGGCCCCAGGAAAAGACAGCGCCGTCGCCGGTGACGGCGAAGCTGTGCGTGAAGCCAGCCGACACAGAGCTGACGCGCCGCCCCGCCAAGGCCTCGACCTTCTTTGGCAGCAGCTGGTGCTGCACATCGCCGTGGCCCAACTTGCCATAGTAGCCACGGCCCCAGCTCCAGACGGCTCCATCGGCGGCGAGGGCGAGGCTGTGGTACGCTCCAGCCGACACAGCGACGACGCGCTGGCCGACAAAAGCCTCGATCTTCTTGGGCAGCAGCTGGTCCTGCCCGCCGCCGTGGCCCAGCGCTAGCTGACCTCCATAGCCCCAGCTCCAGGCGGCGCCGTCAGCGGTGATGGCGAGGCTGTGGGAGTATCCAGCCGACACAGCGATGACGCGCGGGCCAACCAAGGCCTCGACCTTCTTCGGCAGCAGCTGTAGCTGCTGGTCGCCGTGGCCCAACCGGCCGTCGGCTCCACTGCCCCAGCTCCAGACAGCTCCGTCGGCGGTGATGGCGAGGCTGTGGCAGTCTCCAGCCAAGACGGCGACGACGCGCTTGTCAGCCAAGGCCTCAATCTTCTCAGGAAGCTCCGTGTCCTGCCGGTCGCCGTGGCCCAGCTGCCCCTCGGCTCCCCGGCCCCAGCTCCAGACGGCGCCGTCGGCCGTGAGGGCGAGGCTGTGACTACCTCCAGCCGAGACGGCGACGACGCGCTGACCAGCAAAGGCCTCGACCTTCTTCGGTTGCCACTCGTTCAGCGCCCAGTCGCCGTGACCCAGCCTGCCTTCGACCCCCCAGCCCCAGCTCCAGACAGCGCCGCCGGCGGTGAGGGCAAGGCTGTGGGCATCTCCCACCGACACACTCAGGGCGCGCTCGTCACCCAGCGTGGAAGGGAGGCGTGTCGGCGTGTTGAGCCGCGTCACGCCCTCGCCGTGGCCAAGGAGGCCCGGAACCTCCTCCAAGTCCTCCACGTCCTCCTCTTCCGCATTGCCGCACGACGAGAGCCGCCCCTCGCCGTCGATGAAGAGGCTGTGGTAGCGGTCTGCCGCCGCCCTCGCCGGCGGGTTGGACTCGCAGAGCAGCGCAGAATAGCACAGCCACCGCACGGCGCAGCCCTCGCCGTCCGGCTGCGCATGCAGCTCGAAGCCGCGCTCTCGCGCCCACAAGCGGATGGCCTCTAGCGCAAGCGAGGCGTGGAAGAGCAGCGAGACGGCCGCGACGCGAGCGATGTCGGCGGGGTCGCAGCGAGAGAGGGCGCGCACGAGGAGCTCCGTGGGGAGGTCGAGGAGGCGGATGGACGGCGGCGTATCTGGCGACGGGGCGGCGGCGGCGGCGGAGGCGAGGCGGCGCGAGCGGCGGCGCGGCGGGGTGGACATCGCGAAGAAAAGAATTTCCTGCGGGTCGCTCCCCTCTCCCGTTCCAAAAAATCGCGGCTGAGTTTTGTTTGAAAGTTCACCGTGTCGCGACAGGGGCGGGACGCGCGCCCGACCTCGAGCCCTGTCGGTCCTGCCGCCGCAGTCAGATGGACACCTCCACGGAGGTGGCTACCAAATGCGCGGCACATGCCCTCGTCCTGTCGCACAGCGCGGACTGCTGCTGCGACCTGCGCGGCCTCTCATGCATGCCGGCCGCGCGCTGCTTGAAGAGGGACACCGCCCACGTCTCTGATGGAGTGTCTTTGCGAAAATGGATGCGCGAGACACAATCGACCAATGCGAGCGCTTGGTACAAGGGCCTGTTCCAGCCACCGGGGATGTTTCTGCAGTACTCGACCATACATGCGTGGCAGTCATGGCTCCGAACGGGCTCCTTTGCCGGCCGATGGCCACCAATCCTCTACCGGTACATCCCAAACGACAATGCGTGGTGCGTGCAGCGTGGCCTGCGTGGCCTTTCGTGCTTCCTCGGTGGCACCACGGGTGACGAGATGGTGCAACCGTCCGCGCTCGGTGGGGACGCGCTCAGACTGTCACCCGCCCGACTGCCGAGCCACGCATCAGCTGCACGAGAGGTCAACCGCGTTCAACAGTTCCGGCACGAACGCCCGCTCCAGAGACAAAAGGAGCTGGCGCCGTTGCAGTACATGCTCACGTACGCGCACGTGAGCGCGGTTCTGTTCAGCCCACAGCCCCCCGTCACAGCAGCCTACTCGCACCATCTCAAGTCTATACGGCCCAGTCATGAGCGGCGCTTGGCGCTGACTGTTGGCCTGCACATCCGACGTGCCGACTCGTGCACGCGTATCAAGACGCTACAGCTCAAGCCTGCCCCACTCGAGCACATGGGGCAGCACAGCAACTCGCGGATGTGCTTCGCAACGAGCGTATACATGGACGCGCTGCTGAAGCTGTACCGGAGGTATGGCCCCCTCAAGGTTCTTGTGTCGTCCGACTCGTCTTCAGACATGGTTGCAGAGATGCGTGCGGCGGGCGGCGCGTTCAGGCAGGTGTTCCAGAGCTCGCACTGGCACTATCTCGACTACCCGCGCGATGACTTCAGCTACCCCGAAGCGGCGGCGCAACGCAAGTCCGGCGCGCAACCCTTCATCGAGTTTATCAGCGACAAGAGGCAGCAAGCGCGAATTGGCGAGACGGCGTTCGCCGACCTTGTGCACCTGAGCCACATGCAATTCTTTGTCGGCCACCTTGGCTCGCGCTTTGGCAAATCTGCGTGGGCTCTGGCCACTGCACGGCACAACACGTTTGTGCCGTACATTTCCGTGGATGGGCACTCGCCGTGTTGTGCTATAGACGAGAACTGCGCCCTCCTTGCCATGCGCGGCATGGTCGACTGCCTCTCCTTTGCCCACGAGCATGGGTGTCCCAACAACCATTATTGGCAGGAAGGTGCTACAGCGCGATGGGAGGGCAGGTGCGCCACGCCTGCCGAGCGTCGTCGAGCTTAGGTGTGTGATGGTCTCTGCACTCTGGCTCTCCAGAGAGGTGGGAGTGGTCTCATTTAGGCTCGTTTAGGAGTGGTGCCCTATGCTATCGGGACCCGCCCCCTCGTTTAGGACGTTAGTAAATGTTATTGTTGGTGAATTGTGTTTGAAACGGGCGAAAGCGAGAGTCTGCGAGAGTCCGCCGGACATTGGCTCCGTAGGTAGGTATCATCGGATAAGTTCACAACGAAACGGACGTTCAGGCGCGCAGCCCGGACTTGATTTGCCTCGCGACCACACGGTTGATGACACCTACTGTCTGGATGTCTCGCCGGTGGCGGCCTGTGCTGCGGCGGCGGCGGGCGAGGACGCCACCGACGACCTGTGCGGCGTCACGTCCAACCGCAAGAAGCAGGAGGTCTACTCGCCGACGGGGGTGACCAAGAGGGACGACGCCGCCAGCCGTGGCGACGCCGCTCCCTCGGATGACGCCGCGACAGCCGCCGCCGGCCAGCAGCAGCAGCAGCAGCAGCAGAAAGCAACCACGCCCTTCTACGCCAACTGGACGAAACGGCTACGTTCTTAGTGCTGGCGACGACGACACGCGGGGGACTGGGCGCTAGCCGCAGCTCCCCCGGGCCAACGGGGGCCTATCCCGGACCAGCCAGCAGGGGCATACAATTCCTGTACCCCCCTACTGTGAATGTTCACAGCGAACTCCTATTCACACCTAGACACGAAGGCACCTCTCCACGTACCGGCTCCGCTGCTCTGCAGGCTCCGGATAGGCCCTGCCCACGGCTCAGTCACCCTTACCTCACTCGGGGTGCCAACACTAACTCAACCGCCGAGATCGACCCTATGCAGGCGACCAGGCGCAAACAGACCTCGGTCTGAGGCGCGCTACACCGCCTTCGGCACTCGCCCTCGCCCGCGAGCCCTCGGACGCGCCCCACCCGCGCCCTCACCAACCAAATTCCTCGCCCGAAGCAATCTGAGACCGCCAACACGGCGGATATCACGCGAGATCTAGTCAGAGCTGACACACAGCTCCGTTCACACCTCGCGACCAGAGGCGACTACCACCCTCGACAAATCCCCGGAACCCCACCATCGCTCGCCTACCCTCCGCGTACGGCGACACCCCAACATCGGCAGGAAAGATTCTCGCCACGACGGCGCTATAACGCCGCCCCACCCACACAGACTGGACAGGCCTGCTCTCGGAGAGGGGGGCTAGGGGGCCAAATCCACGGCCACAACCCCCTAGAGGCAATGGAGCTGAGAGAAGGCGCTCGGCTGCAAGGGTAGCAGAGCACCACTCCTACGCCCACGCCCCCTCAAAGACGGCAGAAACAGTCACACGCAATTAGTACATGGCCCAGCTCGCGCCATCGCCCACACTCGAGCTTTGCAGCGCGCGGGCTCACACTCTACTATAGGCCCCCTCGACGCCCACTTCGAGTTCTACTCAGCTAAGGGCCGCACTTGACGCTGTAAGCAGCGCGCGGCGAAGCAGTTTGGCGCTTGTGGTGAATCAAATGGGAATCTAGCCCAAGGTCGGAGAGTCGTGTCATAGGAGAGGAGAGAGTGTGGTGATGTTTTGTGCGGGATCAGGCCCGAGTCCCTAGTGTCGCCGGAGCAGGTAGCTCCCTTTTTCGTAACAGGAACAGTTTTTTTTACTCGCCGACGGGCGAGACCTCTCCTTCCTGCCGGCGGCGGTTCGCGGCTCGCCCCACCACGCCGACGGGCGCCTGCTCGTCATCAAGGTGCTCGGGACCTTCCTGGGCGACGCTGCTGAGGCCTCGCGCCGCCTCGTCGAGCGGGTGCGCCGTGCGCTGGCGCCGCTGGCGGGGCGGGAGGGCGTGTGCGGCCTACACGACACGCGGCGGTGCAACCTCGCGCTCCAGATTCAGATGACGCTCAATCGCTTCTGCGCGAACGCCTCCCTCAACTACTTCCTCCGCACGATGCCGGAGGAGGCGACGCGGGAGGCGGCACGGCTGCACGATCGGCTCATCGGCGAGGCGTTCAACGAGCTCACGGCGGGGCGCTTGAGCTCGACGGCGCAGCGCAGGGCGGCGCTGCAGCAGGCGCGGCTGCCAGTCAAGCTCGGCGGCGCCGGCCTCACCTCCATGTCGGCCGTCACCGACGCGGCGATCGTCGGCTCGTGGTGCCTCTGCTGGGAGCCTATCGCTCGCCTCTGCCCGCAGCTGGCGCGCGGCATCGACCTCGGCGCCGCCGCGGTGGCGGCGTCGGCGGTGGCGGCGGCGGAGGCGGCGGCGGGGCAGGCGGAGGCGTGTGTTCATTGGGGGGGGTCATAACAAACACGGTACAGGATCGAGGTGCACGCTGCAGAAGCAGTGGTCGTCCCCCCTCTCCATCATCTCACTGGGAGACGTCGGCGGCGGCGGTGTGACCGTCTGACCGATCGAGCCACGAGAAAGAGCTTGTTCAGCAGGATCCGGTCAATCCGACGCACTACCGGGCCTTTCTTTCTCTTTACAGGGCACACGGGACTTCTCCCATCCCTCTCTCGGCCTACTGTACTGAGATTTCTTGCTTTAAGGGCACGGGACGCGCGGGCGCGCACTGGCACGAATACATGTGTACCTTAAGGTACATTACATCAAATGTTAATACACAAAGAAATAATACCGTTTGTATAGTCAACAGCTAGGTCCACAGTAGTTCCCACAACGTCAACGAGAATAATGCACAATCTAGCATCCCTGTCGCCATCGTCCGCACTGCCGTACCCCTGTTCATTTTTGAGACACGAGGGCGCAACTCCGAAGGGCGACGGGGGGAACGAACAAAAAGCGGCTATGGATGGGGGAAAGGCAGCGCCCCCCCGGCCGGGAAAGTTCCATGCAGCTCACCATCCTGCGGTGGAGCCGGCGGCCGATGACGACCGAGCAAAACGGGAGATTGGAGGCGAGATGCTCAGCGTCCCCACCTGGAAGCCTGCTCTCGAGGAGGTGCTTGCGGCTTCCGCACTCCTTGCGTCCGAGGAGCGCATGTTTTACGAGTACTGACAGCACTCATCGACATCCATATCGGTGCACATAGAGCTTGCGCACCAAAGATCATCCGCGTTGGGCTTGAGCTCCAAACCTGTTGGGCAGGAGTAACTCGCGCAGGTGCCTTCGAACGCACAGAATGTGTTGTAGTCGAAGAGCTGCGCGGCGTTCTCTCTGAGGCGTGACCCAGACGGGCATGCCAGGGTGGGTGGCGGGCCGTCGAACACGCAGCATGTGTTGTAGTCTGTATCGATGCACGCCACATCGTCGCAGAAGAGCTGCGCGGCGTTCTCTCTGAGGCGATACCCAGACGGGCATGCCATCGTGTTGCACAGCGCGGCGGACACGCAGCATGTGTTGTAGTTTGTATTGATGCACGCCACATCGTCGCAGAAGAGCTGCGCGGCGTTCTCCCTGTGGAGATACCCAGACGGGCATACAAACGTGTTGCACGTCCCTTGTGTGACGCAACTGCATCCGTTCACGAGTGCGCGGCCACGTTGGAGAGCGTCCGGGTCTTTGATGTTGTCGTGTGCGGTGTCGATCTTGGTTGAATTTTTCGATAGGATTTTGCGGACGTCGGAGCTGGTTCCGGCACTCTGGACGGGCGCCCCGATGGTGGCGGCGACGGCAAAGGCGACCAGCGAGACGCGAAGCATGCTGCGGCGGGAGTGAGCGCGGGGCGACGGTTGGCGAGTGGGACGGGGGAGAAGATGTAGAGGCGCGCAGGAGCGGAACGCTGGCAGGGGCACGGCGGCACACATGGATGGAAGTCTGGCCTTGCTCTCGGTCGGATTGCCTTGCTCTCGGTCGGAGTGTGACCCGGATGTCACGCCCCGCCTAAGGTGGTGTGGGTGTGGGTGGCATGCACATGCACATGCACATGTGCATGTCATGCACGTGCATGCTGGTTTTGTTGCTTAATTTTTTCTTATGTCTGAGAGAGAGAGAGTAGAGAGAGAGAGTAGAGAGAGAGAGAGAGAGAGAGAGAGAGAGAGAGAGAGAGAGAGAGAGAGAGAGAGAGAGAGAGAGAGAGAGAGAGAGAGCAATCCTTAAATGGTTACCCGTGAATTCTCGGTCGCATGGTCGCTGTCTTCCTGACGACGGCCCTCGTCGGCCCTCTTCATCGGCCGCCGCTGCTCGCTTCGCCTGGCCTCGCGCCGCGCGGCTGCTGCGTGCGTGCGTGTGCTGCGCCCGCCGAGCCCTCCCTCCTCCGGCGTGGCGCTTCGCTCGGCGGCATCGTGCTCGCCGGCGCTGCTCAAGCGCGGCTTTGTGCGGCGCGGGGTAGCTTTCCCCTCGTCCCTCGCCGGGTCGGTGATGCTCTTTGCCAGCCTCTGCTCCCTGCGTGCAATCTCGCCGCCGCTCGCGCGCGGCGTCGCCCGCGCCGCCCGTCCGGGCTGCGCCATCATCGCCAAGTGGCTGCCGCTCTTCTTCGTCCCAAACCTCGTCCTCCTCCCGCTGGTCCTGCGCCTCGGCGCGGGAGACGCCGCCCGCCTCGCGCTCCTCATCGGCGGCGGCGCCGTCCTCTCTCTCCCCGCCTGCGGCTTCGCTGCCCGCACCGCACTCGCCGCCAGCGAGTCGCTCCCCAAACGGCAGCGCCTCTCCGAGCGGCTGAATGTCGGCATGTACGAGCCGCCCGCCTCGGACCGTGTCGCGTCCGCCGCCGCCGCCGCCGCCGAAGCCGCCTCTCCGGTGACCGGAGTCGGCCTCTTCGCCGACGGCGATGAGGATGCCGACGCGAGCGAGGCGGTGGCTGCGGCGAACGCACCGCCGCCGCCGCCGCCGCCGCGGCCGCCGTTCGCGGCAGCGCTTCTGCCACGGCTGGCCTCGGCCGCGCTGGCGAGTGGCGCGGCGTCGGCGCTCGCTGCCCAAGGCCTCGGCGCCCCGGCCGCCGCGGAGATGCTCCGCGACGCATCTCTGCTGACGACGACCGCCGGCGGGTTTGTCGCCGGCTCCACCCTCGTCCCCAAGCGAGCTCAGAAGCTGCTCCACCCGCTGCTCACCTGCACGCTGTGCACGCACGCCGCCGTCGCGGCGCTCGCTCTCGCCACCGCCCAGCCCTTCTCCGTCCTCCTCCGCTCCTACCTCCTTCCCGGCGCCGCCCCGCTCGCTGCGCCGGGCAGCAGCCGCCGCCGCGAAGTGAGGGCTGCGTGAACGGCGCCTCCCTCACAGTCCGATGGCGCGAACAGGCAACCTGCTGCTCGCGATGCTCGGACCGGCGACGCTCTCGTTTGGCTTCTCCATGTACGAGAAGCGCCGACTTCTCGCCGCCTCGCTGCCAGCCGTCACCGCCGCCACCGCCGTCGCCGCCACCGGAGGTCTCTTCGGGTCGGCTGCGGCGGCGCGAGCGCTCGGGCTCGACGCGGCGCTGCGGGCGGCTGCGATCCCGAGGCAGGTGACGGCGCCGCTCGCCATTGCAATCTCCGGCTTGGTTGGCGCCGACCCGGGCATCGCTTGCACGATCGTCGTCCTCACCGGCCTTGCAGTCGCCAACTTTGGCCACCGCCCGCTCGACGCTTCACGGCGGAGGTGCGAAGAGGCGCCGCTCACGGAGGCACGTCGTGTGGGTAGGCCTCGCGCTGCTCGACGCGGTCGGCGTGACCGCGCCCGTGGCGCGCGGGCTGGCGATGGGCGCCGCGGGCCACGGCATCGGCACCGCCGCCACCGCCGCAGAGCCGGCCGCCTTCCCGTTCGCCGCGATCGCGATGGTCCTCAACGCGGTGGCGTCGACCGTGCTCGCCTCGATCCCGCCCGTCCGCAAGGCGCTGCTCTCCGCCGCCGGCTTGCCCGCCGCGTGACGCCCTCCTGCGGTGCACGCGCCGGGCGCCGAGAGGGCGGAGGGCCGCTCCTGCGCGTCCCCTGGCCTCCCTCCGCCTCACCGTACGCGAGAGAGAGAACACTAGAGAGCTAGAGTCTACAGGCGAGAGAGCGTGACGCAAACCGTCTCTGGCCATGGTCGACATGCGCATGTGACACATCGCGGGCTGGAGTATGTATGTGTATGCATGTATGCGAGTGGTGCCCACCACGGCGCTGGAAATCAACGGCGTGAACACTTCCCTGGGACCCTGTGTTGCGTGACTGTCTCTGTGCGATTTCGGGCCCGGGGTTGTGCGTTTATGTGGAGGACGAGCGGCCGACAAGCCTTTGGTACATGCTCTCGTCCCTGGCCCGCGCCACGCGCGCGCTGCCTGTTCGGCACGCTCGCGGACTGGCGGGTCGTGTCGAGAGCTTGAGCAGGCGATAAACGGCGGTGTCTCTCAAGGCGCGTTTCTCTCGTGAGGCGCGCGTGCGCGGGGCGGCGGGCGGCGTCGGTGGTGGCGGCGGTGGCGGGGATGCTGAGATCCGCGCCGCCGAGGGCGGCGAGGGCGGCGAGGGCGGCGAGGGCGGCGAGGGCGGCGAGCGGAGGGCGGGGAGGCGGGCGGCGCCACTCTAGGCGGCGGGGGCGGGGCTGGCGCGGCGGGGGGCGGCGCCGGCCTCGCCGCCGGCGGGGGCGCGGAGGGCGCCGAGTCGAGGGCGGCAGAGGCGGCCAAGGCAGCGGTGGGCCGCGGGCTGCGCGGCGACGAGGCAGGTCATTGACCTCCCCGCCCCCCCGCTTGTCCACCCGGCGTGAGGGGCGGGAGCGCAGCCATTCCAACGGCTGGGAAAGCTTCTGAACGGCCGTGCATGCGCCTGCATGCCGGCTTACTAAGAAGGTCCCTCGCTCCCGCCCCTCTCCCGGAAGACGCGCGCCGGCCTGGGGGACTCGCTTGCGATCCCGCTCCAGCCAGAGGCCGCGTGAGGCGTGTGGGACGGTGCACGCTGGGGCTCGGCCCCAAGTGCGCTGGCCTCGCGTCTCGAGGGGAGGGCGGCTCGTAACTGAGGTCCGCCTGCGGAGACAGTCGTCCTCCCCTCCCTCCGACGTCCTCTACGAGGGGGGGACTCCGAACGGCCGAGCATGCCCTCGCATGCCGGACAACTAGGTAGGTCATAGACCTCCCCCCCTCTCCGAGGGCAGAGGCTGCCGCCTCTCGGATACTCGGCCATTCCAACGGCCAGGCCGCTCGCTTAAGGCTGATTGGCTAGACGAGCGGCCTACCTCCACGGGGCTGTTGGCGCGCAGGGGGAGGTGTCATCGTGTGAAGATCACGCTCCCGGGACGCCGGAGAGATCGGGTTGGTCTCCCCCGCCTTCAGCCCTGACCCGACGGGGACGCCACCACCCTCGCCCAGGGATCTACAATGCTGTCTTAAGGTCCGACAGGTTCGGCACCGGGCACCGCCTCGGTATACAAAATGCGCCTGCGGGCGGACCCTCACAGATCACAGATCACAGGTACACCACGGGAGCCGCCTAAGCGAGGACGGTGAGGCACTCCAGTGTCGTGGCTCGTGCGAAAAAAGAAAGAAAAGGATGCCGATCATCTGGCCCGCTGGGTGCGCGCTTCTTAGCTCCCCGGCCCTGGGGATGTGAGGACTGAGGTTAATGACTGCAGTCGTTGCACTCCAAGTGCTCCCGAAGAGGACGACAAGAGCGCCGACACCCGGATCCTCAGGCCAAATGATACATGCAAAACCCCTCTCTCCCTTCCACTCTACACTATGGCCCGGAGCCAGGGGTCCACGCCCAATGCACATGCCCCGCGCGCGCTTGATCGCACGCGCTCTCCCGCCGCCCTCTCTCCGGCCGCCGCAGCCCACGGACTAGCCCGCGGAATCTACACCCTGGCGAGAGGCTTGACACGATCCGACCCTGCGACCCTGACGCTGCTGCTCTAGCTATCAGACATGCACTGCTGACTGCTGCCACAATGTGCGACCTGTGCTGGCCCACTTGGCGGCCTTCCCGGTCGGTGGTGAGGCGCAGTTCAGAGCTGTCGATGGCGCGATGCCGCACTGGTCCCACATTGGTGACACGAGACCACCAAGTTTGCCGGTCCAAGAGAGAGGTACCGGCGCTGTCCTGAGAAGGTGCGTGGTCCCTCTTGACTGCCCATGCGCGCGAGGCTGCGTAGGCATAGCCTCGAGAGTGCCAGCAGCCAATCCGAGGCGACGCGCATTGATTGCGCCAGAAGCGTGCACACGTTGGAAGGACACCTTCCTACAGACCGTACGATCAGGTCGTCACTGAATGCTTGATACTAAGGCCGCGAGCTATGCAGGTGATCAATTGTGCAGCAGGGCATGGTCAGCAGCGCCGACAGGCTGTCGCAAGGCGTGAACCGTGATAGCATGGCCGCACACCGCCGAATTCCCATGAACAAGTAAAAAATCGCGCGAAAAAAGAAAAAAATCTCGAAAAATCGGCGCCTGCGGCGGGCCGTGGGACCCCATCTCCCCCCCGCATGGGTACCCTCTAGGGCCCCCGCGCCCCCCCAGAGCACCATATCCCTTTCTACCCCCCTTTCTCTCGCTCATTTCTCTCATCCTAGTTCCTACGTCAGTACTACGGTCTACGGACTACACGCTACTAGTACCGTAGTTAGTAGTAGTACTGGTTTTACCCCCTGGTCTAGGTCTTCTTGACATTTTTTCGCTCTCCAGCCCTGTGCGGCGTGCGGCGGGTGTCTTCATGCACACGCACAGTAGAGGAGGGCTACGAAGCCTTCACACACTCCAAGGGGTTGGTCCACATACAATGTGTGCTCTCTCGGCTCAAACGTCTCAAAGCCTCCGCACTCAGAGACATAGGCTGAGCCCCCTGCTCTTGTGCACCCCCCTCCCCGCCCCGCCCCCCTTCCCCTCTTCACCACGCCTCCTCGGCCGCGGAGTAGATGGGCAGCCTCGACCGCCCGACCTCCTCCGGCGCCGTGTAGACCGACCCGTCCGCCAGCCGGTGCATCCTTGCGAGCCTGCCGGGGGAAGGCTCCAAGAAGGGTCGAGGAAGGGTCGAGGAAGGGTCGAGGAGATGTCTCGGAGATGTCTAGGGGATGTCGAGGAGAGGTCGAGGAGAGGACTAGGGAGGTCTAGGAGAGGTCGAGGAGAGGTCGAAGAGAGGACAGAGGGGAGGCCGGGGAGAGGTGGAGGAGAGGTCTAGGCCAGCCGGCTAGCCCCTCGCCTGTCGTGCAGCTGCTGCAGCAGCGCGCGCTGCTCGCGCCGCGCCTCCGCGTCGATCGAGAGCTCGAGCGAGCGCGAGGCGCGCTCGCGCAAGGCGAGGCCAGCCTCCTCCCTCGCCAACTCGCCGTGCAGCATCTCCAGCTGGTCCGCATAGAAGGTGTCGAGAGCCTCGTGACGGCGCCGCCGCGCCGCCGCCGCCGCCCGCCGCGCCTCCTCGCGCGTGGAGTGCTCAAGCCGCAGCCGCTCCTTCTCCGCCGCCAGCGCCTGCGCGCTCAGCCGGCGATACTCGAGGTCGTCGTGCGCCTAGTCTCGCAGAGAGGAGGTCAGCTCTCCCCCATGTCTCCCCGTATCTCGCACTCGAGGTGGTCGTGCGCCCAGACGGCAGGTGAGGAAGGGCCGGAGGGGGTCTGCAATTAAGCGGGTGCTCGAGATACGGGGAGATACGGGGAGATACGGGGAGATATGGCCTCGAGGACCGCCGGCTGAGCGCGCGAGCGAGAGACGGGGAGATGTGGGGAGATACAAGCGGGAGCTCGAGAGCGTCGCGCGCGCCTCCACACGCGCCGCACGCGCTCGCCGTGCCCGCACCAGCTCCTCCCTCACCCTCTCCCGCCGCAGCGCGTGCACGCGCTCGCTCCACTCCGCATTCCGCTCCGCGCTCCTCCCGATCGCAACCTGCCGCCGCTCCGCCCGCCGCAGCCCCGCTGCCTGCTGCCTCACTATCGACGCCTTGGGACCCCCGAGCCTACGTGCTGGATACACCAGCCTCGGGGCGGGAGGACGGGTCTCGTGCAGTGTCTTCAGAGCACCGCGTGAATACGAGGGAGGCGAATGCAGGCAATACGGCCGCCCTTTCCA